TGGGGAGGGTATGTGCTATGGTGAGCGCTGTGAATTGTGTAAGACTGATGACTCACAGACCTGTACCCCTGAAACAAATAATACATTATATGTTAATAAAAAAAATGAAAACTTTTAATTATCTGGTGTTAGAGCCATTATACTTTAAATTCATTAAGATATTTTCCTTTTATTTTAGGGGTATGTCTCAGTTTATTTTAAAACTCAATGCTTGTAAACACATCAAGGGAATACTTTATTTCCCTAAATTAAGGGCAGTCAGCTCTTGATCAGAAGCTTATCTCATGACTTATTTCTCCTTGAGACTCACTCAGAAAATTGGGGTTCCTATTAATACTGGCTCAGTTGCTTTGTCTCTCTCCTAGGTGAGCAAGATGTGATTAATACTAGAACCAGAGTATTCCATGTAGCCAGGTAGATCATAGAGAAACATTTTGATTTACTTTATTTTATAAATCAAAATACTTAGTATGCATTTTTTTCTTTCTCCCAGTGAGATAACCATAAGCAAGTTTCTGTTAAAAAGCAGATACCTCACTGACCTGCTTTCCTTTTCTTGTCTCCTACAGAGAGATGAGCATAAATATAAGAGACCGAAAAAAATCGCCTTTTGTAAATTTAGAGTATTTGTACTGTCATCTTTTTCTGTTGAAAAATTATAAACTCATGATATAGAACTAGAACAAATTAGGAGGCATAGTGAATGCTGGGAGCAAAAAACCAATAAAAATCAATATTCTTGCTATTTTCTGTCTTACAAATCAACCGTGTTTCTACTGTGTTTTTTCAGGACAAAAAAATAACACCTTGCATCTAAAGAAAACGAAGGAGTACAAAATTCCAAAGTTCAAATTTTTGTTTGCCTATTTAAGAGAATACTGGCATAATTTCTGTGTGGCGCAAGTGCCAACTTCTTAGGATATGTAGAAATGCAAAGAATCATGCATTTGAATTTTAGTGCTTAAATTTGTATACGTTATATTTTAAAATTCTGCTTTCAGGTGATACTAAGTAAATGCTAATATTTAAATATTTATTTCTACAGGATGAAGATTTGAAGTGGGTGGAAGAAAATATTCCCTCTTCATTCACAGATGTGTAAATATCCTCTGTTAAAGTTTGAGTCTAAAATTTAGGTTATCATATAAAGAAATAATTTTCATACTTTGTCATGTGCTTTTCGAACATCATACCTCCATATGTTTTTATAGGCCCCCATCACTAGCAAATGACTGATTTCATGTCAGACTACAAAGAAAACACAGCGCTGCCTTTTTCTTTCTCCTCCATTTTTCCCTATACAGCAACTACTTTAATATCTATGGCCTATAACCAACTCCAGCCTTTTCTGATCTAAGTTTTTCAGGATTAGAATCATTTTATTTTGTTTCAACTTTCTATTATGGAGAAGTTCAAACATATGTAAAACATTTTTTTCAAACACATGGAACCACAATACCATGTGTGGTGGGGAAGTCAATGGAGGAAAACATGAGCATCGGAAAAATAGAGTGCAGACGAAGCCCCTCGGGAACTTTGAGCTAACCAGGATCTAGGTCCTGTCTGACACAAGAATTCTACGTAGCTGTTTCTGCCACAGAAAACAGTAGGACAGCCAGATATGATCACGTTTCCATATACTGTTCTTTCCTTTCCCTGCTCCCATTTACTTCCTATTTAGACGGTTCCTGTCAGAGTATGAAATTCTGTTTGCATGTCATAGGATAATTTGAATGGACCATGAATAACATGATGCAGTCTATTATAAAGTAGACATTACGACTTTTCCTTAATCTCTGACAAGCCATAAAGGACACAGCTTAGCAGAGTTCACCTCCCTCTTCAGTGCATTCAGTACATCCTAATAAGTTTTAAAGTCATTAACCTCACAGAAGAACTATTTTTAAGATTGCTAGTGTTTATCTCCAAACAGAGTGCTGAGCACCCAACCGTTGTCTTCTGGGTCTCTCAGGTTCTGGTTCATGTTTCCCCTAAAGCAGTCTTCTTCCCTGGATTTTCCTTAATTGTAGTATTGCAAACAGTCTTGCCCGGCCCCTCTCTCACACCTGGCTTGTCTCCCGGTTCTCTTTCTTCTGCCCTCACAATAGCCTGCTCTCTAAGTGGCGTCCTCTGGAGTCTTGCTGTGATGGCACTTGTGTATTGCACTCCAGCACATAGACTTTGCTCTCCCTCCCAGTGAGGGAGAGCCATCACTCATCGAGGCTCTACACTTGGCTTTTCTTTTTATCCACATTATCTTTCCCAAGCAAAGGTTATATTGTGTAACTCTCTCTTCATTACCTTCACCAGTAGACATCCAGTCGGTAGTAATAATGATATGGGAATTAAACAGATACTTGATTCCATAAATACCACCTTTCATAATATGTTGACTCATCCCTCTTTTTTTTTTTAATATATATACTTAAGGTGTATGTGATGATTTGCTCAACATATGCATAGTGAAATGATTACTGCAGTCAAGCTTATTCATCCCTGTTAAGTTCTCACAAAAGTGCAGGATATCAGTTAGATAAGACATCACTACTCAGATACATGTCCAACTGTTGAAAGTGAAAAATAATAGAGGCTTAAAAAATAAATCCGTAGTTGGATGTCAGTTGTGTTTGGAATTACTCAGTCGTATGCTGTATTCCTTGATATTCTTCCAACATATTTGCCTCTAGAATTGGTCATCTTGCCTTGTTTCCATTTTGAAGTTAGATTATTTTCCCGTTTCAGTTTTTAACTGAAATTTTTTTAAGTATAGCACACATTCTGGAAAGTATAGAATCCTAAGCTCCAATAAATTTTCAATATGAGCACATTCATGTAACTAGCACCTAGATTAAAAAAAAAAAACAGAACATCACCAGTGCCCTTAAAAACCCCTTTGTTTCCTCCCAAATCACAACCCTGCTTTCCAAAATGTGCTGCTATCCTAATGTCTCATAACTGTAGATTACTTGTGTCCGTTTAAAAAAAATGTATCCCTCACGAATCCATCTATTTTCTTTGCTGTATAGTATTCCATTGTGTGAATATAGTAATTTATCCATGTGGGTTATTTTCAGTTTGGGGGCTCTTAAGAACAATATGAAAACTCCTCTCCATGTTTGTTGGTGAATGTAGGTGTTTATTTCCATTGGTTGTGTCTATCCAGGAATGAGAATTTGTAGATTACCAAATATGCCTGTATTCAGCTTTAGTACATACGCTAGCCTTTTAATAACATTGTCATCTGTTTCTGTTTTGTTTCAGAGCTCTTCCAGTGTTAGTGGATTCAGATGAGGTAAAACATTTTTTGCTTATTTTCTTGGTTCTGTTATTTTCACAAAGTAGAAGTGTATTTCAGAAAGAAATTCTAGAACTTTATAACATGATTACAAATTGAGCAGGTTGGAAGATGGTACAATGATTTACCAGGAAAGTGTAAAGGAGCTCGATCCTCATTTAAAACAGGAGCAAGATAAACACTTGTTGGTATGAAGGAAGGGGGAATTCTTTTATAAGATTTTAAGCCTATGATTTTCTAACATCTTGTACCTTGGTAAGAGTTTAAATACTTTAAGATGGCAGTTTGTCTAAATTAATCTCTTATACTTGAGATATTTTGTTGGGGTATTAAATAGAGTTTCTATCTCATTTTCATTTACTAAGCAGGAGATTTGAATAGAGGATGTGGATTTGAGAAGGTTTGGGGGAGAAAAATGAGTTATGGATCATCTGGACATTGAAGGGTGGCCCAAGACAGGAAGAAGTCTGAATTGTAAGAATTAAAGGGTGGGTGTGGGGAGCAGGAGCTTACAGGAAGGAACAGTAGAGGAACATGGGTGGTAGCTGAGGCGTGACTTAGGTGGTGGCTGGGAAACAGGAGATAAGCTGCTGCTTTGTTGACTGAAGGTAAGGGAGGTGACTGGCTGCAGCAGGTGATCTGACGGGAGCGGGAAGTTGTGAGGAGGCTGCAGTAGACATGCACCTGGCTACAAAGCGGTTGAACTTAAGGATTTAGAACTCTACAGAAAGATACACCCTGGAGAATTGCCTTTAAAAGGGCATTTAGAGGATTCATGTGATGAATAATTTTATAATTTCGAAATACATGAATTGTGTAAAGTGAGGCAGATCCCCAGATGAACTATGCCTAGGAAATCCATGTTAGCCCCATTCCTGCCTCTCACCAGTAATTCTGAACTCCGGATGTTTTCCAGCTAGCAGGATGTTCAAGTTTTCTGAACTTGCCAACAGATATCCACCATACATCACTAGAAGTGTGGATTATCCGGTGTTTATTTTCTGTATCTAATATTTCTTTGTGTATCGTGGAATATACTTAGTCCCCCACAAAACTGTGACTGTTGAAAGATTAGAGAATTTTGTTATGTTTTGGAAGGAGCACCAACATTTGCAAGCATATCATCTTTTTTTTTTTTTAAAGGAAATCATGACCAGATCTGAAATGGCAGAAAAAATGTTCTCGTCAGAAAAGATAATGTGATTGGAACCCATAGAACTGAAACTTAGTTAACGGTGAAGGACTTCCTCAAGACTGAAAGAGAGCTTTGTTTTGATATAGTGCAACAAGGTTTTATTGCATTATCTTGGAAATCTGTGTATTACAACTAAGAATTCAGGTGGTAGGAGGGTTCTGCGACTGTTTTAAGCTGCTCTGGAGTGTCGGCTTCTTGTCCATCAAATTGCCTGGATTTGGAAATAATCTAAGAAAAGTATTATGATAAAGAAATACGCCCAAATGCCCTTCGCTGAGAGGTGGCAGGGACGTGGATTTGGGTTTTCTCTTTTCTCTGGAAAATACAATTCCAGACTTAAAAATACTTTTTACATAAATACTCCTACTGTTCTTCCACTAACCTTTGAGGTAGATGATGTGATTCTTCTGTAGTATGGTAAAGCAGCATCTCCATCTCTTGGGTGTGTAGTTACTAGATGCAGTAATAATTTTCTTTGACTTTTATACTGAAGTGATTTGAAATTAAGTAAAACTTAGCCTTAGAACATAAGCATGTTTATATGGTTAGCTTTGGTGTGTGGGTGTGTGAGGGTGTGGGTGTGTATACATATACATACGGGTCCACACAAAGTCCTTGTTTGTAAATATCACCATGCACACCAAACCACAGAGTTGGGTCCTCTCTGTCTGAGCTCAGGGGAACACAAGAACACAGGAAAGAGGTCTTGATGGTCACTTCCAAGGATTTGCTCTGCCATTGCCCCCCCCACTCAGGCCGTATGTGCACGTGCTGCTGCGGAATCTATCTGGGGCAGGTGCTAGACATGTGGCCACATTGCAGTTTCTCTCCAGCGAGCTGGAGAACTCATTACCAGTGACCCTTGTAGGCACCAGAACATCCTTTACATGATCTTGGTTTATTTGGTTTCATAATGAAACATATATTTATCTGCACAGTATATCACTATTAATCTCGTAATTAATTTCTTAACCTTCAACCATGTTTTACATATCATTTTGTTACATTATATATGTAATATATGATTTGAAAATTTTTTGTTTTAATATTTTTTTACGTGCAGAACATTCTAAACTTGAAAGGTAGTTGAATGTAGAATGTTGGAAATGTGAATGTTTTGCTGCTTTCATGACCAAAGATACAGGGCTAGTGGACATTTAGAATAGGAATAAAAGTTAGAATCTTGTGTATCTTTCTTTGAAGAGGTTCTAACCTTGTGAATTGAGAATGACTTCAGAGAATTTTGATTGAGAAGCATTTAAAGCTTTAACCAGTACACTTAAGTATAACTATTAATTTATTTTCGTCGTGAAGCCACAAAATTTTTTCTTTCAAGAGCCTACCTTTTCAATTTATTTCTCATTTACTCGTGTCATAGGAGTTAGCAAAAAAAAAAATTCTAGTAATAATGTGTCTTGAAAGATACTTTCAAATTTATTTTTGATAGGGAACACCGAATGGTTTGGGGCATCCTTCCTAGGGAAAGACTGTCAATTAGTGTGGGTTCCATTCCTTATTTTCATTTCTGCCACAATATTGGGCCCCCACCCACTACATTTCCCAGCATTTATGTCCATTCTGGTTTTGGTATATTTTACCCTGGGCCCAGTTGTTTCAGAGCTGGAGGTGACCCTGCCTTCTCATTCCTAACATTTTTCTCTTCTACTACCATGCCCAGATTTTGAGGCAGACCCCCAACTCATCATACGGCTCCAGCTGAAGTTTGAAATACAGGGTCCTGGGCTTCCAGCCTGTAGGAGCTGCAGATGTAGTGGGGCAGGAGTGGCGTGTCGGTTGTGAGCACAAGGGACACTGCCTCTAGCATAACCTCAGTAGTGGGTATAAAAGCATCTCTTTCTGCGGCTGGAAAGATAAAGGATGCGACATGAATAGCTCAGCTACAGGCTGAAATGGAAACTTTTCTCATCTTCTAGAGAAAGCAGGATTCCCTCCTGATAACTTTGTCAGAAATGTTGTTTTTCAAAGGGCATATATCTGTCACTTTCAGTGATAATTGTGTCGTCAGTTGATGTCTCTTGACCTGACTTGAGTATTCCTATGGAAGGTCCTCTCAGCCCCCTTGTATAAATAGGAGGGGGTGTCCTAGGGCTGTCGCTGTGGTTTGTCTGAAGGACACTGGGGAAAAGTGATACCTGGGCCATTGTACAGCTCGTTATCCCAGCTTCTGCACGAAGTGTCCAGAAACTGGCCATCAGAGCTTTTGAGTTTATCAGATCAGTTTATTCTTGGGATGCCATCAAGATGGGTCTCACTATAAATGAAGGAATCTGAGGAGAAGAGTCCAGTTTTATGTGTTTCTAGACAAAATGCTTAAGTGTTCTTATGCAAGTCATGTTAGATTTATATGATGTGTGAAATTTGCTTACAAGGGAATTTTCATGATTTGAGTTAGATTAGCATTTAATTATCTGCTTTAAAGGATAGTTAATTTATTTCAAAAATAAGAAAAAATAGATGAATATGTGAATTTTTTAAGACTGAGAGATGTTGTTCCTTTACTTTTCCTGTAAAGAAGATAATTTTTAAATCTTTCATATCCTGTAGAGAAAACTAACTTTTCCTCTGTGATACAGTACATTATGTTTGCACTACCATAATATCAAGACCGAAAGTATAAAAAATGTACATATAAGATTGATTTTTATATCTTTTTTTTAAAAGGGGTTTGAGGTGCCTGCCTGGCTCATTCAGTAAAACATATGACTCTTAATCTTGGGGTCGTGAGTTCGAGCCCCACGTTGGGGGTAGAGTTTACTTTCAAAATAAATAAAAGGGGTTTGAGTCTGTTGCACTAAGCTATACATGACTAGTTTAAAGTAGAGAGATGTTATGCTAGATTTAAAAATCACTAGTTTTCTTAATGTGTCTTTGTATGATCAACAGCATGCAATAAGCAATACAAAACACCAAGCCTTATACTTACAAGAAAGAAGTTTAACATATTGGTAAAGTTCTAAACATATCAAATGTATATAAATGACAAAAGTAGGATTTTAAGGAAATGTACAGTATATATAGAAGCTCAGTACTGCATTAAGAAACTTCTTTAGAACTAGGAAAGCATTCATTTTTTTGAGGAGAAAATTTAGGGGTTTGAGAAGTTATATTTTTCTATTTAAAAGGGTTAAATTATTATATAATTTGGAAGAAGTTGCTTTGAATGTAGGACAAAACTGTTTCAAAGATTTTTGTTTGAAACGTTGATGTATTTTTGTGCCTTAATATTTGTTCTGACTTTTAATAAAATGCTTTCTGAAATTCTGGATGATTGATTCTAATATCTATTAGTGCTAGATTATGTAAAGCTGCAGGATATGTAGACCCAAATAGACGGCAGGCTTTAAACAAAAGTCTTAAGACGGGAGATGCACTAATTAACAAATGTGGAAAAGTGTTCAACCTCAGTAGTGAGCAAAGAAATGCAAAATATGAGGCCCCTGGGTAGCCTCAGTCGGTTAAGCATCCGACTTTGGTTTCGGCTCAGGTCATGAACTCAGGGTCGTGAGATAGAGCCCCGTGTCAGGCTTTGCGCTCAGTAGGGAGTCTGCTTGAGATTCTGTCTCCCCCTCTCTTTGCTCACTCTGTGTCTCTCAATAAATAAATAAATAGGGGTGCCTGGGTGACTCAGTTGCTTAATCATCTGCCTTCAGCTCAGGTCATGATCCCAGGATCCTGGGATCAAGTCCCGCTTCGGGCTCCCTGCTCAGCAGGGAGCCTGCTTCTTCCTCTCC